ACTGACTCTCCCCACTCCCCTCCACACTCACTGACTGACTCTCCCCAATCCCCTCCACACTGACTCACTGACTCTCCCCACTCCCCTCCACACTTTATTCATATCTGATTTAAATTCACAGCTTTATTGTCATAATTGGTAAATTACACTGTTGCCATAGTATATAGAATCAATACAACAATTATATTTATTTATAAATTAAATAAATCATAGGACTTTTCCTCAGGCTTTGACAGGTGATCACACACTGGGCTCCAAGCTCAACAGAGGTTCCTCCCTCCTCTCTCAACATGATTGGACGCTGTTCTCATTCTGGCAGGTGTGGAAATACTGGGATTAGATTTGTTAATTTTGGGGGAAAATGTTTCTCTAATCCCAGAGTATTTCTTACAGTGCAGTAGGAAGTGCACCTCTGTCTCTGTTTTTCCCCGCTGGCAGTGGGAGCACAGCCTGTCCTCTCTGGTTTAGCCAGGTCTGCCTGTGTCACCCAGTTTCTGGCCAGATTGTGGTTACTGAGCCTGTACTTTGTCAGCGTCTGTTTTTCTTTGCTGTTTCTTACCCTGGTCAGTTTCGGCTAGTGTGTATTGTCTGTTTAGAGTTTTATAGTATTCCAGTGTTTGTTGTGTTTGTTGTCCCAGTGAGATCCTCTCTCGTTCTTCACCCTAATCTGCCTTCTCAATCTCCTCTCTTTATATCTATCTGCCCAGCATCTCCCTCTTCCCTCTCTGTCCTTCTTTCTCTCCCCCATCACTCTCTCTCCTGCTCCCATCTCTTGTCTCCCATCGCTCTCTCTCCTTCTCCCCTCTCAAATTCAAGCAGATTTATAGTCATGACCGGTAAATCTTTTTGTTCCTCATGCTGGGACAGGAGATCACTCACTCTATTATTATAATTGAGAGACAGGCTCCCTGTCTGTTCCTCAGGCTGGGACAGGAGATCACACACTGTATTATTATAATTGAGAGACAGGCTCCCTGTCTGTTCCTCAGGCTGGGACAGGAGATCACACATTGTATTATTATTATTGAGAGGCAGGCTTACTGTCTGTTCCTCAGGCTGGGACAGGAGATCACACACTGTATTATTATTATTGAGAGACAGGCTCACTGTCTGTTCCTCAGGCTGGGACAGGAG